CGCCTCTGCACACTCGATACTCTTAGGGGAGTACCCGCAGGTTCAGGCGCCCGGCCCGCCCCGCGGAGCCGCCTGGGAGTCGCGGACAGCAAGCATGGCCCTCGGATCAGAGCCATGTCGTGGAATGTTGGGGGCCTCTCGCAGGAGGCGTGGCTGGAGGTGCAGATTTGGATGCATGAACAAACTGAGCATGATGTTATTTTGCTTCAGGAGACCCACTGGAGGTTCACAAGCTCATGGAGTCTCCCACGGTACCACATTTTCCATAGTGGTGCGACTGATCACAGATTTCAGGGCTGTATGATTGCGATCCATAAGTCCATCACCTCATTCGAATCCGTTCGCTGGTCTACTCCCCTTGTTGGTCATCTCATGCACGTCCGTTTTCCCGTCAAGGGCCGGCATGTCGATATTATTAACCTTTACCAGTATGCACTGCAAACCGGCCCCGAAAGGGCAGCCGTTCTTCACAAACGGGAGCGTGTTCTGCATCATCTTGACAAAACCCTCTCCTCCCTGCCCATCAGGAACGTTCTGCTGATTGGTGGTGATTTTAACTCCATGGGAACCCGGGACTCCATGCCCTTTGGTCCTGGCACGTACCTAGGCCCTAATCCCCATCCTGACAGGCACCTACTTGCTAATTTCGCGAACACACATCGACTTACTGCACTGAATACATGGGGCCGCGTCAGCAAGGCTGCCACATTTGAGCACGACCAGGTCCGCAGTCAAATTGACTTCTTTTTCGCACGAGCTGCGCAAATTGACGGACGCTCGAGGTGTGCTTGCACGGACCCCCTTTTTCATCTCTTGCGTTGGCGTGGAGGCGCCCGTCACTACCCAGTACTGGTAAGCATCCCAGCGGTGCATTACCAATCCCCTGCCAAAATCCTCGACGAGTCTAAGGTCCGTGCCCCTAGGTATCAGCTTACTCAGCCCCCTGAGCGAGTGCAGGCGTTCTGCGAGCACCTGGCCCACACCCTCTCTGCCTCGCCAGACCCCTCCGAACTAGATCGGGCTTTGCAGCAAGCGGCGGCCAAGCACCTGCTTCCTGTTCAGCCGAGGACCAAAGGTGATTCAGCTGCGGACAGGGTCACTGGCATGGTAAAGCAAATGTGGAATCTCCGACATACGGCACAGCAATTTGCGATTGAGGTCCTGCGACCCTTCACCATCGTCGCGCAGATTCGGCACTGGCGAGGCACGGGAGAGCGTCTCTGGTTCTCCATTGGGCAACTACTCACTGCATGGAGACACCAGGCGTCTTATCTGAGGCAGCATCGCCACCTCCGACGCAGAGGGCGTCAGGTCAAAAAAGAACTCCTGGAGGAACAACTCCAGCAAGCATGGGAAGCGGACCAGCACGGGGATAAATCCTCCATTTGGAAGGTGGTAAACCGGCTTGCTCCCCGTACTGCTAGGGTGAAGATCCAGCTGCGTGGAAGTCAGGGCAGTCTGCTCACGCCCGTCGAAGAGGCTGAGCGATTTCGAACCTACTGTGAGCAAATTTACAAGCTACCGTCATCACAGCCATCTTCGACTACGGTCAAGCCTCCACCTGTGCCCACCCTCCCCCCTGTGATCGAGACGGCCCCTGTCCCTTCTCTTGCTCACTCACCTGATGAGACGCCTCTGGGCGCACCTGTGGCAAACTCACCTGCTCCTCAGCCCACTCTCGGCCCTATTGAGGTGCCGCGTCTTGAAGAAGCGTTATCCCTTCTACCTGCGCGCAAAGCCACTCCGCCTCATCTCGCGCAACTTCACTTGTGGCACCTTGGTAAAGATGTTCTCCTCCCGCATCTTGCCACACTCTGCCAACAACTCTGGCAATCCCCTCAGAACTTCCATCAACTTTGGGCAGACGCCTGGATCGCATGGCTCGCTAAGCCTGGCAAAGCCCCGGACCAACCAGAGAATTTGCGGCCTATTTCCCTTACTGAAGGAGGAGGTCGTATCGTCGTCAAAGCGCTCACTCTCCAACTACGTCCGTCCCTCACTGAGGCGACGAGGTCCTGGCCACAGTACGCTTATGTGCCAGGACGTAGCATTGAACATGCAATTATCCGTGCTTTGCATCACTGTCGTCGTGTTCAGACCGCCATCGCGTCGCAGCGGATCACTCTTCAGGAGAGACGCGCCACGGGACGCGTCCCCACCGCCTGTCAGGGTGGCGTCACACTGTCCATCGACACGAGTAAAGCCTTTGACACAGTCGATCGTAGCGTACTTGAGCAGGAACTCAAGACGGCCCGTATTTCGGAGCCGGAACTCACCCTAATCATGTCCTTGCATCAAAACATCGGGTATTGGCCAGCAGGCCCGGAGTCCGATATCAGAGTCTCTAGCGAGAGAGGCGTGCGACAAGGTTGTCCTCTTGCCCCTAGTCTTTGGACGCTTGTAACCGTTGCTTTGCTTCGAGCCATGGCTGGCACGGAGTCCCTTGACTGGATTCAGCACGGAACCACTATGTTCGCAGATGACCTCCTTCTCCAATGGGAGTACAACAACATCTCAGAACTAGAGCGCATGATATCCGCCATCCAGCACTGCTTCCGAGTCCTTGCTCGACTAGGTCTCCAGGTGCAGCACCGCAAAACACAACTCCTCCTTGCCCAAAAAGGTCGCCTGGCGCACAAATGGTGGCAAGCACACACGGCCTCCACCAAGGATGGTTGCTTCCTTCGGATCCCGCAACCGGGTCAGAAGGATCTGCACCTTCCCATTGTCCCACAACTCACCTACCTGGGCATCGTTCTCTCTTACAAGGATGCGACCACTGCCACCGTCGAGCACCGTCTTCACGTTGCCGAGGCCCAACGAGCGCGCCTTCTTAAAGTGCTGCACTCGCGTACTCTTCCTCTGCGGAAGAGAGTGCAGCTCTGGGTGGCCTGTGTTCGAAGCTCGGCATTATACGGACTACATCTGTTAGACCTGCAACAGAAGCATGTTGTACGCATCACCGTTGTCCTTGTCAAGCACCTGCGGGCCATAGCTCGGAGCTTTGCCCACATGTCTCAGGAGGCTAGTCAGACCTTGCTCCTTAGGCTAGGTGTAGAGGATCCGCTGCCTTTCCTGCTGCGCGCCGGCCAGAAACTTCTGACAAAAACACTCCAATCGCAAGATCCGATGGTGCACCAGCCACGCATACTGCAGTGGCTAGCGCATATCACGGAAGCCAGGCTGGCGCTGGACTCGCACGTTGCGCATGTGATCCCGCCTAATACTGAGTCCTGTCCTGAGACGGCTCTGGATGGAGATGTCAAGGAGTCTCTCCGC